CTGTTGGTCCGACTCACCCCCTCCCTCCCCAACCACAGTGCCCTGGTCAGTGGTCAGTCCCCTCTCTGTCCGCCGACACCCAGTGTCCTCTCCCTTCTCTCCGTCCGGTCCCCACAGGGAGAGGGGTAGAGAGAGGTGGTTTCCCCGTGGACAGTCCCCCACCATCCATCCCCCGCCCACCTCCCTACTTATGTACACAGCTACCACCATTGTGCTATGGGTTGTCCAGTTTGCCGTCATCATGTCTTATCACCAGAGATTAATTATAACTGACGACTGTCGGCGACAAATGTTTCGCCATTTGTTAATACTTGACAACCTCAAAGTTTCTATGAAAAGATCTGGTCTCATATCGTACACAGCACAGTGAGCCGATCGTGAGCTCTGTGGTTGCTAGATGCCCCCCTCCCCCCCCCCACACCAGGGTTGGGTTGATTTAAATCAGTTGATTTTTTTTATTTAAATCAACTTGATTTTTAAAATAAAAATCTGTGATTTAAATCACTTAAAAATTTTTTATTTGTATTCAGTTTTTACATATTTCAACATTCAGAATTCCTTTTTTGGTTTCATAAAACAGATATAAGGTTTAGTACACTAATATTTATAAATCATGCTTAAAAGTCTGCTTTCCCCCCTTTCACTGTAAAATAATACAGTATTCAATTTACTTTTTTCCACATAATTGAAATCAGAGCTGGGTTGATATAAATCAGTTGATTTTTTAAATTTTAATCAACTTGATTTTGTGATTTAAATCACTTTAAAAAAATTTATTCTGTTTTTACATATCTAAACATTCAGAATTCCTTTCCTTGGTTTTATTAAACAGATATAAGGTTTAGTAGACTAATATAATCATGCTTGAAAGTCTGCTTTCCCCCCTGTCACTGTAAGTAGTAAATTAATACAGTATCCAATTTACTTTTTTTTCATAATTGAAATTAGCATTTTCTTTTTTTTTTAGACAAACACAAGCGCGCACACACACACGCACACTGTAATAAAATACAAGTTTATCTA